ATATCTATATCTATATCTATATCTATATCTATATCTATATTTCCAGAGCTTGGCCACTTCCCACCTCCATACTGCCACACCGCTCCCAGACACCATCCTTTCCACCTGGATTATCCCAGCAGCTACCTCACAGATTTCTTTGTTGATGCTTGCTCCTGCTATGTTCTAATCACAAAGAAGCAGCCAGAATGATGCCTTTGAATTCTAAGTCAGATCATTTTCCCTCCCCTTTTCGAAACACTCCAGTGGCTCCCCATTTATTCAGAATAAAAACCAACATCTACGTGGCAATGGCCTACAGGGTCCTACAATCTCTCTCATACCCACCCCCAGTATCTTTCTCCTTTCATCTACCTCTATCACTCCTGCCTCAGGACCTTTGCATGGGCTTCTGCTTAAGTCTGGAGGCATTTCCTCTGCCATCCACATAGCCCATGCTTTCATTTACTTCATGTTCCATTGTTCAAACTCTGCCCTATCAGTGAGACCTACTCTGAATCTCCTATTTAAAATTGTACAGGGACGCCTGGGTGGCGTAGTCAGTTAAGCATACAACTTGGCTCAGGTCACGTTCTCACGGTTTGCGGGTTTGAGCTCCGCATTGGGGTGTGTGCTGACAGCTCAGAGTCTGGAGCCTGCTTCAGACTCTGTGTCTCCCTCTTTCTCTGCCCCTCCCCCACTAGCGCTCTGTCTCTTAAAATAATAATAATAAACATTAAAAAATTTTAAATTGTACACACTCCTTCCACTCAAGCTTCTTTCTGCCACTCGATTCTTTCCTTCATAGCACATCACCATCTAATGTCGGTACCTGTTTGACTTATTTATCTATTATTATCTGTCTCCCACACTAGAATGTATGTATGCTCTATGATCACAAGACTTGTGTGTTCTGTTCAGTAGTGTGCCCTCGGCACCTGACAGCGCCTGTCACATAAAAAGTGCTCAGTAAATATTTGAGTGAATGAATGAATGGATTTGAGCACTGAGAGTGCTTACCATATTCCAGGCACACAGACACCCGGCGGAGCAGCAAGCGGTACAAGAAGGGATTGCAGTGAAGGAGGTGGGGGGGGCACTAATTCTGCATGGTAGGTTAGAGAAGAATCTGGAGGGGGTGATGTTCTAGGTGGGAGAAGAACCTCACTGTTCGTTCCTTGAGGCAGGATGTCTGTTCATCTCTGTGTTACCAAGACGTGGAATAACGCCGGGCACTCGGGAAAGGTTTCCACAAAACTGCACAGAGGTGCTCAGAAGCTGTAAGTAACACCAAGGCGTGTTTGGAGGCGCTGGAGGGAAGGCACGCTGTTCCGAGGTCTTCGTTTCTTTATTCTGGATCTAACGAAAAGCCATCTCAAGTGTTAGGAGGAATTTTTTTTTTTTTTTTTT